GTCAGATTAAATCTCAAAGACCTTTCTGCCTCAACTGTTAGAGTCCAGATGACTGGAGTGTGGGAACATCCCATCCTATCGTATCTCATCGCAGTCTGAGTCAGCATAATATGGAGCTCTCCCCACTCTCCCTCGCTTCCCCTTTGACGCCTCCAAGACTTGAGGTCCATCAGCATTGATAACCCCCCTGGAGGCAACCTAGGGGAAAATGCTGAGGCTGCTGAAGTCTCTTCCAGTCGTAGAGCTGGATGTTGAAGAGGATCATTTGTCCTTGCATGGATAATCTCAAGGCCTTCTATAGAGTCCTAGTCCTGTAATATCAGCGGGAAGAACTCTTGGGCTGCACAGGAAAGTCCAGCACTAGGCTTGGCATTTGTCAAGCTTCCTATACATACCAGTTGAATGTACGTGTGGAGAAAGGTCAGGATGCATGAATAATTTCTGGCTAGTTGAAATGGAGCCAAGGAGTAGAGCTCAGGTTTTTGTTTATATTCACAATCTCCTAACCAGCTGATATCTGTTGCCATTTATTAAACTGCCTCTTTCACAATCCATGGTGGAAAATTGGCCAATCTCCTTTTTAGACCCATCTCCTCTATGTTTGCCTGGATTTTATTCTCTTTTGACCTATTAAGGATTTGCTCCTGCAATGAACCATCTTGGAATCATCAGTTTCCCTCTGCACTAGACCATTCCTGCAAATATACGAATAAGCTCCAATGTCTCCTGTCTTAGAAGGAACCTCTCCTGCTCTCATTTCTTCTTCAGACCATCATGCTGCTCTTGACTCCCCTTTACAGCAAAATGCCTTTCAAAAGTCTGCATGCTTAGCCTCTCTACTTCCTCTCCTCCATTCTAACTCTCAAAGTCAGTCTAATCAGGATCTCATGACATCACTAAAACAGCTCTCCTCAAGGTCACCAGTGACCTGCCTGCTGCCAAGTCCAATAGTTAGGTCTCAGGCCAGAGGTCATGCCCAGACGCAGCCAGCAAGGCTCTTCCCAGCTTCTTTGCTGGGTTCCAGGGTTCTGTTCTCTTGGGTTTCCTACTTCACTGGTATTTTTAGTCTTCTTTTATGTCCTAGCTTATAAGGGACAAAGGGTCCAGGATCAGTTATTGAACGACTTTTGTAGCTTTTCCATTCCTTAGATGCTCTCATGGTTTAAAAAACCACTCACATACAAGAAAGTGACAGCTAAGGTTTTAGCTCCAACTCCTTCTTTCTCCACTACTTTGTAGTAACATACACACTGAACTTTAACCCTGAGTCAACTAAATACAACCACAACACTGCATTCCCCATCCCTTCAGGCCCACTCTGCCCTTAGTCTCCCCTGTCAGTTAACAGAAGCTCCTTTCTTCTACTGGCTCAGACCTCAACACTTGGAGTCATCTCTGACTTTCATATCTCACATCCAATCTGTCTGCAGATCCTGTCAGACTACCTTCAAATTATATCTAGAACTTGGTCACTGCTTACCACCTCCATGACTCTGCCTATTCTAAGCTACCACCACATCTTGCCCAGACTAATCCAACTGCCTCCTAATTGATCTCACAACTTCTAGCTTTGTCTCCTCTCCAATTCTAGATTCCAGAATAATCTTTAAAAAAGAAGAATAAGAATAAGAAAATACTTTAATTAGATAATGCCATGCTTGTATTCTTCAAAGGTTGGCCATCTCACTTCCTGAATAGGATCTAGAATCCTTTAACAGGACTTACAAGGCCCTATAAGATCTGTACTGTCTCTTTGATTTCAATCCCCATCTCTTTCCCTTGTCTAGTCCAGCCTAGGTTTTGTATTTTATTTAGAGACAGGGTCTCACTGAGTTGTTTAGTACCTCGCAGTTGCTGAGGCTGGCTTTGAACTTTTGATCCTCCCGTCTCACCCTCCCTTTCTGGGATTACAGGCGTCCACCACTATTACAGGCGTCCACCACTATGCCTGGCGAGACACTGGTTTTGAGCTATTTTTTGAACATACACACTGCTTCCCAGGGCCCTTTACTCCTATATACCTAAATGTCTATTTCTCTTTCTTCCTTCAGGCCTCTGTCCAAATTTCACTTTTTCAAAGGAATTTCCCCTGACTCTTCCTTCTAAAGTAACCTCTGTCACCATCTCTTTAGCCTGCCTTGCTTTTCTTCCTAGCAATGATCACATTCAATATATATTTTTACTTTGTGGCTTCTATGGTTTAGATTGTCACTCCCATTATTATATGGAAGTTCAATAACAGTCTTTGAATATTTAGTTGGGATTGTATCCCAGCTTCCTGGAAGAGCCTGGTACACAGTAGGTATTCAACAAATATATGTTAAATGAGTGGATTTCTTGAATGGCCTCATCCTGGCCTCTAGTCACTGGGTGAAGAGAATAGATTTCAAATGGTTGTCAAATTAATGTGGTAAAAATCAAGTGTGAGGAACTTCTAGGTGTACATGGAAATCAACAGATAATGTGTTCATCATCTGTTACCTGAGACCATCATGGGATTCACAGATGGTCTTGGTTTGCTCTGTGATGCCAAATCATTTACCAAACTATAAGGTGTAATGAAACATCTGCCTTTAACTTCTATGGTATGTCACTTATCTTCTGGGACTCATTGTGCTCATCTGAAAAATAGACAGTTGGGGATGTGGTTCCTGCTCTGTCAGTTTATGATCTACAAGATACTGGAGTGAGGCAGTACAGTTAGGAGGGCCAACTACACAAGCTCTGGAACTTGACTGCCTATTTGAATCCTGCCTCCAGTTCTCACAAGTCATGTGACCTTGTGCAATTTACTCAGTTTCCTTTTTTTTTTTTTTGTACCAAGGATTAAACTCAGGGGCACTAGACCACTGAGCCACATCCCCAGTCCTATTTTGTATTTTATTTAGAGACAGGGTCTCACTGAGTTGCTTAGCATCTTGCTTTTGCTGAGGCTGGCTTTGGACTTGTGATCCTTCTGTCTCAGCCTCCTGAGCTGCTGAGATTACAGGTGTGTACCTTCATGCCTGGCAGTAATGGAAAGATAACAAGAGGGCTAGAGTTGTCGCTCAGTGGTAGAGAGCTTTCCTAGCAAGTGTAAGGCACTGGGTTCGATTCTCAGCGCCATAAATAAATAAATAAATAAAATAAAGATCTATTAACAACTAAAAATATATTTTTAAAAAAGATAACAAGAACATGTAACTCAAGGAGTAAATCTGAGAATTATATAAGGTAAAACATAAAAAGCATCTAAGATATGGTTTGGCACAAGTAAGTGCTCAATAAATGTTAGCTATTAAAAAATGAAAAGTTCTGGGGGAAATTTCCATTAATGTGTTTTAGGGGTACTGAACTACCCTAGATTCTGAGAGAATGTGGAATTTTAAAAGATGTGATGATGATATTATGACTAGGCTGGAAAATGCTCTTATTATTAGGACACACATGGTGAAGTAATGAAGGATAAAACCTCACAATATCTGTCACTTTCTAATAATCTAGTCAAATATATATCTATGATCCTACAACTATCAAATGTGGCTAAATGTTGCCTATTGTTTAAGCAGGGGATAGTCTATTCTGTGTTTTTCTTTCAACTTTTCTGTGTATTTGGAAATTTCAAAATAAAAGGTTGAAAGAAAAAAGAAAGGCACTCGAAATGGGGCAGTCCAACACATGTTTTAGAGAAGAAGGATCATGAGCTCAAGAGGTAAGCCCAAGGTTGGACAACCAGAGAAGTCTGGACCAGAACCAGGTCACCTGGCTGCTGTCTCCCCCTTTGTGTGGGCTCCTGCTGTTGACACCCAGGCAGCAGTGGGAAGCAGAGGAACACACTGAGCCCCCTCAAGAAACCAGGGGTGTTATGGGTGTGTGAGAGGGCATCTGTGCTGGGGTTTCCTTTTTGTTTATTAAGCAAATAGACCATTTAGTTGGAACGTGTGTTGTGGAAAATGTGAAGGCTGCACAGGACCAGACTGTCACCCTTAGAGAGTGGGCATACCAGTTTGGCACTTTCTGCCTGTGGTTTTTGTGTGTAAACTCTGGGACTGCAGAGGAGCCAGGGCCAGAAGGAGAGACCTGCTTCCATTCTGGCGCTCCGTGAGAGAAGGGACCCCATGGTATAGCTGAGGACTAAGTGCGGGCACATTTTAAAGAAAGGAAACGATTCTTTTCGGTCTGCAGCATCTTCTTCTAGCTAATGGGGTTCAAAGCGGTGGGAAGGAGAGGGGAGAAGAGGGAATATCCATGCAAACTCTGGTGATGGTGGGGAGCATACAGATGAATTGGGAGAGAAAGAAGACCGGAAGAAAAGAAGAAGAGGAGGAGGAAGCCCAAAGTAGGGTGGGGGAGGGGTTAGAAGCAGGGCACTAGGGGTGGTTGGAAAGGTAGAGACCGCACCTTGCGGAGGGGTGGGACGCGGGTGTGTGGGGGGGCGGGCTGCAAAAAGGTTGGGTCGGTCAGCCCTCGCAGGCTGGAGTGCCGTGCCCCAGAACATTCCTGCCTCCCTCCTCTGGGTCTGGAAGTCCCTGGAGACCGCGGTAGCGAGCGCGGAGCTCCCGGCACTCTTACTGGGGGGAGGGCAGGCGGGAGGGGCGGGGCCTCTGGGCGGGGCGGGAGCTGAGCCGGTGGCCGCGGGCGGGGCTCCTCTCCGGCGGGCGCCGGAGTCTGGGGGCCGCGGCTTCCCCCTCCCGGCCCGCGGAGGCGCTAGCCCCTCCTCCCCACGCCGCCCCCATCCCGCCGCCGCCGCTGTCAAAGATAAACCGGGCCATTGCCTGCAGGAGCCGTGGCAGCAAGCGTTCGAGCGGCGAGGAGCCTCCGCAGCGGCCTCGCCTCCCCGGCGCAGCACCGCATCAGCACCGCGGACAGCACAGCGCCCCCGCTAGGGACACCACCGCCCACCTGCCCACCTGCGCCCGGGCCCGCGGCGTCCTGATCAGCACCACGGACAGAGCCCGGGTCCCCGCTTGCCACCCGCAGCCCACCCGCTCCTCGAGTCAGCACCGCGGACAGCCCCGTTCGACCTGCTCCGCGGCAGCCTGGGAGCCTCCAGCGACCCCGAAACATGGCTACCGAGGTAGGGGCGAGTACCTGGCCCGCAGGCAGTGCCCTACTGCCGCCACCTCCGCTAGGGGCGGACCGGCAGGAGGCGGGTGAAGTGGGGGTAGCGATGGCTCCCCGGGTAGAGTCCGGAGGGAAGAGATGGGGTGGAGTGGCAGGGTGGAAGACTGGGTCTCTAGTTAGGGCTCATCTCACCCCAGGCGTGTTAATCTTCCCACGCACCCCTGGGCCCTGAAGTGTCCACTTGTTGGCATTAGTCCCAGGGTTCCTCCAGGACCCCTGGCTGGGGTTTCCTCTTCCCCTAGACTAAGGTTCCCGCTTCCCTAGAGGGTTGGAGACGCGTGTATGCGTAAGGGGAGGGAAGGCAGCCGGATGCTGTTGCTATGCGGTGCTGCCTTTCAGATCCTGAACCCAAAGCTTGGCTAAGGGAAGACAGACTACCCCTACATCTGCATTTTCTTTAGAAGAGGGAGGGGACAAAGACATCCTCAGACCCCAAACCCAAATGATTGTTTTAAGTGAGCTTCCTGCACCAAACTCCACTTTGGTGAACCACCTTTTCTTGCTTTTCCACCCTATTTGAGTTGTGTGTCCTAGGGTGTCCACCTTTGTCCTGTTTGATGGGAGATGCTGCCTTCTTCAGGGTGTGCCTATAGGCTGAAACAAGGGACCTGTTACTAAAGGGAAGAATCTTGGTGCAATGCTTAAGAGATCAGGAATTACCCTGTCTACACCTAAGGATTACCCCTCTTCCCCTTTATTTGGTGAGGCAGATAGGAGCTCTTTATGTTCCCACTTTCTAAGTGATAAAGCTGACATATGGAGAGGGGGAGGACCCATTTGATACTCACACAGCATGTCAATAGCAGAGCTGAAAGTTTCTTCTTTTGAATTTTTGGAGTGGACTTAGGACACCAGGGTCTCCCTGGTTCTGATGTTGACTTCTTTTGTGGTGTCTCCCCATTTCCAGCCCTGCTGGAGCACAGCCAGGAAGAGAGCAGAGGCCTTTGAATGATTCTGTGCAGTGCCTCTGGGCATTCTGGCTAGCAGCGTGACATCAATACCAAGTGCTATTGTTGTTATTCCACTGAAGTCTGCTCCACAGAGCAAGGTGCTGTTGCTTGGTATTGTTCGGCTTTCTGACCAGGCACAGGGTTAGCTAGCAGGGGCTCTTGCGCACCTAGGACCCAGTGTGGGGGTAAGTCCTGGACAGATCTTGGAGCTTGGCTTCTAGAGTGGAGGAATGCAGTGCTCAGAATCTACCACAGACACTGAGAAGAGCAGGAAGAACAACAGGAGAGATGGCCAGATTGCTGGTCTCCTTCCAGATAGGGCTGCCAGACTGCAGCAGAGGCTGCTGGTGTTGGGCAGATAGTGGGAAGTTCAGCCACCTGAGCATGGCTGGGTCAGCAGTGTGGGCAGAGAAGCAGACTGCCTGTGTGATGTGATCTGACAGCTTCAAACAGGCCCATCTGTCCTAGCATCTCTCCCTCTCAGGACTGTTGTGGCCCACAGATTCCAGCCAGCAGGTTCATATCACTAGGTTGAGACCAGGTTTCCAGGAGGCTGCTGTTAGGCATGCCTGACTCTCCCTTGGGAGAGGCTCTGCTCATAACGCCTCTGCGAATATAGCACTTTCCTGGGTACGAAGCACTATCATACCCATGAACGCCTTTGAGCCTTAGAACAACCCTGTGAAGTGGGTAAGGATGGTGTTATTATCTGCAATTAACAGACGAGACAACCAAGGCTCAGAAGCTAACCTGATCCCCATGAAGGAGTCAAAGGAAGCATCATTATCCCATTTTACAGATGATGCAACTGGAATGCAGAGACTTAAGAAAATATGGCTAAAAACTGGCGGAGCCAGGACAGGCCTTGACTCTTTTCCTCGATGGCCATTGATTTTATTGTTGCTTCCGGGGTGGGAGCAGTTGTGGTGCCCAATAAAAAGGAGGGTCTGGATATGATGTTTTGATGTGGGGAGGGTTGCAGAGGCCTGGAAGGGCTGGAACCTGGAGACTCAGAGTCCCTGACTGGCCTTGGTCCCTGACTGGGTAAGATTAAGGATGGATGGACAGAGGAATATCCAGAAGGGACAGGGAGCTGAGGACAAACACTTCCCACTCCATGGTTTGGCCTCGGTGGAGTCTGGAGGCAGTGCCGAGGGAGGAAGCCTAGGCTCTGCCAAGGCACAGGACGTGCGCAGCGTCTGGACCAGGGGTGAGTCATTCTCCCCAGGCTGCTTTTACTATTAGGACTGAGTTGAAATTACCAGGAAAAACCTGTTGGGAGAAGGAAAATACACTCCAATTTCCCATGGCCATTCCCTTAGGTTACTGAAGAGGAAGCCCTCAGTCCCAGCAGCCTGCATATTGAGAGAAGGGGTGAGAGAGGATATCTCTGAATGGAAACTGGATCTTCTCTGCTCCACGATTTCTGTTTAGAAAGTTGGTGCTAGGAGAGGGGTTCATGTGAGGAACACAGGAGGGATGAAACCTCTTGAGCCATACACTGACCTCATTTGGAAAGCCCTAATGAGTCCATTTCCTGAGCAACAAAACTCTGTAAATGTGTGTCACTGGGAGCAGGGTCTGTCTTGTGAAACAGTCCAGATGGCCAGGGACAACTGGGAAGCGCCTGGTTGGGAGGGGCTCCTCCAACCAGTGGAGTTGGGCCCTCAGAGATTTTTAAATGCACTCAAGTAGTGTTATCCACGCAGGGAAGTTGAAGGTTTGATCTCTGAGACAGGAATTAACAACCAGCAGACAATGGGTTAGGCTTGGGCCCTGGTGTAGGGTGAGAAGAAGGGTGGCCCTGTGCCCATGTTTCTTCCTCAGGCCTGACCTGGCTGCCTATGACTCACTATCCCTATTCCTCTGCCACACCCCTGCCTGGAGTGAACAGTGCTGGTGCATCAGCTGAATCCCCTGATTCTTGAGCCTCACCTGCTTCCTATGGAATGAGATGGCTTTTAATGAGTATGGTGATGTGGGCCAGGTGGGGCCTCCTGTTTGTCTTGGCTACACCAGGCCTTGAGCTCATTTGCCCTCTAGTGCTGGCTCCTCCCCCTGGTGCACAGCTCCTAACGCTGTGACCTGTGGTCCCCACTCTTCGGCAGCCTTCCCTTTGTTGTCATGTTGCAGTTTGATGAAAGTGGTGCCTGCCTGTGGGTCTCATCACTGATTTTCTTCCTCGTGAAATGCCTCCAGGTCTTATGCTTACTCAACGGCCATGGGAAAGGCCATGGGAGATGGACAGGGTTGTGGAGGGCAGTTCATGTCTCTGGGTCAGTTATGAAACCCCTGGAGAAAAGCTGCAGCCTCACAGAGACGTGTGCACCTGCTTTGGGATCCTCTTGAAGGATTTGGAAGCATCATGGATTTTTCTATTGAAAAGCCCCTCCTTGGAGCTGGGGTTGTGGCTCAGCGGCAGAGCACTCGCCTCTTATGTGTGAGCCCCTGGGTTCGATCCTCAGCACCACATAAAAATAAGTAAACAAAATAAAAATATTAAAAAAAAAAAGAAAAGCCCCTCCTGAGCTGGGGATGTGGCTCAAGCGGTAGTGCGTTCGCCTGGCATGCATGCGGCCCGGGTTCGATCCTCAGCACCACATACAAATAAAGATGTTGTGTCCGCCAAATACTAAAAAATAAATATTAAAATTCTCCCTCAAAAAAAAAGAAAAAAGAAAACCCCCTCCTGCTTCCTGGAAGCTGGGTAGCTGGCAAGTGGCCTGTGGCCTGGTTCTAGGTCTTGTTCAAGGTTCCTGCCATGAGATTCTTTGTTTCTAATTTGGCAACTCTAGGAATCAGTCTGGTCCACCGATGAGTCTTACTTGGCCTGCTAGTACTTATGCATTTAAAAAATATATTAGAAATATTTAAATATCAGGATATTGATGCTAAGAAAGTAAAGATGTGTGGTTTCCTTTAGAAAACCAGAGTGTGGGTGCAAAGTCTCACATGACAGTCATTAGCAGTCTCCCTGAGATAGGGTGTGAGTTCTCTAATTAGCCACAGGCCCCACCTGGTCCACTTACTGCTTTGCCTTTAAAAGCACTTGTGTTCACCATCCCTGATGAGGCCTCTAGAATGTCAGGGCTGGGAGAGGTCTTAGTGATTATGGAGTTCCAATGTCTGCTTGAAATGGAGACCCAAGGAGGGGCAGACTTGCCCAGGGTTGTGTGGTCTAGGTTCAGGGCTGCTATTCCCTTAGTGGACCATCTTCCACCAGGGCCTCTTGGCACTTCACAACTGAGCCACCATGAATGAAGAGAGCCAGGAGATCCTCTCTTGCCTTAAGCACCATTCTTACTAACTGAATATGAGTCTGCAGTGTGTGCTCTCTGTGGGTCTGGGACACCAATGTTATGTCACATAAAATGTGTGTCTGATTCCATCCTGGCTCCTAATCATCAGGTGGATCTCCTTCAGGCAGTGATCCAAGGACCCAGGCTTGTTCCAACTTATGGTTCCACCATCTTCAACACACAGATCCACTGATTTCCGTGAAGGGGGAAGAGCAGGGAAGAGTGTCAGGTCTTTAGGAGTCAAGCCTACACTTACCATTCATCACTTCTATTCACGTCCACTCAGGCATATGGCCACCCGTAACTGCATGGGAGCCTGGGAATTAATTTAGCTGTGTGCCTAGGGGAAAGAAGAAATGGCTGGTCAATCAGTCACTAGAGACTCCTGGTAGCATACACATCCATTCAATGGCCAAAGCAATGTTCTTTCCATTCTCACCACCCCTTTGCCTGGTTAGGTCTACTTGAGTTTTCCCCTGCACCACTACAAAGGGAATCATCCCCTGACTGGCTCCTTACAGCACTCTTACCTACTTTTCAAAAAACTGCCAGAATGATCCTCCTAGAACTACTGGAATCCATGATTTGCTCTCGTAAATTGGTTTTAGAAGGGCAAAGGAAGGTCAAGATCTTTTACTTTTCTCTAAAAATTGCAACATTATGTAGAAATCCGAACTAGACCAAGCAGGGACATTAATGATTAAATTACTTATATTACCAAAACATTTTTATTTTCAAAGTTATCACAGGATCCTAATAGATGTCAAGGATACTTGCTTAACAGAAACCTGGATTACAAGATCAAGGTATATTAAGACTTGAGGGACATTTATGTATTATTTAATCCAATCCCAATACTTTGGGATCACATCTCTTACCCAGAGCAAGGTTCACCTGGATTTTGGACAGTCTTATGTGCTCTAATTCTCATCTTTTCAGGACCTTAATGCCACAGTTATCTACTTCTACCTTATAGACAAGCTTTCTTTTTTTATTTTCCCCCAAACTTTTCAGCATCTCCCATCCTAAATCCTCCCCGTCAACAGAAACCTGTATGGCTTTGTGATCTAACCCTGTCTCCTCTACACTCCATCTCCTCTGCTCTCTTCTACTTTGCAAACCAACTCTGTTCTTGCTGAGATCTGCCTCTAGCCACTGGAATAGATTGTGCCTGCTATCTTCGTTATTCTGCAGAAGTGTCTCCATTTGTCCAGTTGAATTTTCTCCCCACCCCTCGGCAACCCCTGGCTTTCCTTTAGGTCTCAACACAGGCTTTAGGAGGCCTTTTCTGGGTAAGTGTTTCTGGATAAATGTGACTTCTTTGTACCATTTATCACAGTCTAATTCATTATATATTTATTTACTTGTCGTCCTCCCTGGAGCTCACAGACTATCTTCTGCACAGCAACCCCAGAGCCTGGCACTTGTAGGGACTCAATAAAGGAGAGTTGAGTGACTGAATGGATTCAGCTTAATTACACAGGAAGAACTGGCTGTCTGTTCACTGTGCCTTCAGGGCTTGGTCTCCATGTGGTTCAGCGTTGGGCATATTTCACCCAGTGGGATGTCGGTCTCCAGTGTGAGGCTGGAGGTGGAAGAAGAGACCTTGTTCTTACCTGGAGTCAAGCCCACTCCCCTCAAGTGCTAGGCTCTGTGTCAATGTCAAGTCTGCAGATGAGGACAAGAGGCAGAAGTCACCCTGCTCCTTCCCACCAGGGAAGGCTATTGCTTCAACTTCTGCCTCAATCCACTGGGTCCACAGTTTTCTCTGGGGAAATTTAGATATTCTTGGGCCTTTCTTGTGGTGAGAAGTGCTGAACATGAAAACCATTTGTGATGCTCGCTGTCCTCAGCCATAACTTGGTTGGAACTTCAGTCTCCCTGAGTCCAGAGGCACAGAAGGGTCTCCTTTTGTCCCATGGGTCCTCATCTCCCAACCCAGTCACAAGTTCCTCTCTCAGGGCCTGAAGCTACAGTTATGTTCTGAGCTGGGCTCCCCAAGCACAGGGATGGCGACCAGAGTGTCTTATTCATCTTGTTTCATGTGCTGTTGATAATTCCAGAACCTGTCATTTTAGCTCACCTTAGCCTTTTTTTTTTTTTTTTTTTTTAGGTATTTCTGGGATAAGTCCCGCGGCTCCTTGAATAACTCCATAATGCTGCTTCCCCAGGGCCCTCCTGGAGCACTTGCGTGTGGCTGGCTCCCCGCTGTTTGCAGGGAACTTTCTTGGTTCTAGCATAGAAAGACTTACACTCTGGGGAACTGCTTGGGATAAACTGGGAAGGATGATCACCCTCAGCATGTGCTTCCTATCTATCTTCTCAGGTCCACAATCTGCAGGAGCTCCGGCGCAGTGCCTCGCTGGCCACCAAGGTCTTTATCCAGAGAGACTATAGCGATGGGACCATTTGTCAGTTCCAGACCAAATTCCCCCCAGAGCTGGACAGCCGGGTAAGGATGCCTTTTTCTAAACTTGAGACCCAGGGCTGTGACGAGACCGAGGATCTTACTGGAGTGCATATTTTTTCCAGGATCATGTGACACATAATATAAGATACATAACTTGTTCAGCCACTTCCAATGGAAGAATAAAAAAAAAAAAAAAGCTGTTAACATTGTCTTGCTGTCTCTTCATAGGAAAAAAACAAAAAACAAAAACCCTCAGAGATTTTCCAGTCTAGCAGCTCTCAAATTTCAGTTGCATGAGAAGCATCTAGAGAACTTGTTAAACAAATGTGAATTCCCAAGTCCTACAGGGTGATATTATGTGTCATCCAGAGATGCTGATTCAGTTGGACAGTGGTTGTGGAATCTCCATTTATCGACAGCCATTCTTTTTTTCTTAAATATTTTTTTGGTTATAGGTGGATGTAATACTTTTATTTTATTTTATTTATTTTTATATGGTGCTGAGAATTGAACCCAGTGCCTCACACGTGCCAGGTGAGCATTCTACCACTGAGCCACAACCCCAGCCCTCGACAGCCTTCTTTACCTTGGCTGAACATTGGAATTTCTTGGGGAGTTAAAAATAAATCCTGATGTCCTGGCTGTACCCCAAATCAATTAAATCAGATTCTTTGGGAGAGGGGCTCAGGCAGGCATCAACATTGTTCTAAATTTTAATTTTACTTTAGTCACAATTGTTTGAATTAAAAAAAAATTTTTGTTTTGGTACCGGGGATTGAACCCAGGGGCACTTAATCACTAAGCCACATTAGCAGCTCTTTTTATTTTGATTCAGGGTCTCGATAAGATGCTTAGGGCCTCACCAAATTGCTGAGGCTAACTTTAAACTTGCAATCCTCCTGCCTCAGCCTCCCAAGCAGCTGGGTATGGGTGTGTACCACCATGCTGGCTCTATATTTCTTTTTGATGAGGAATTCCCAGGTAAATTGGAATCAAGTGGTTCAAAGGTCATGCTCTGAGGGTTGCTGGTGTGGTGTTTCTTCACACATTAGGGTCACCTGGGAGCTTTGGGGAAAGCTACCTTGCAGGGTATCAACTTGGGTAGGTAGGGCAGTGACAGTTTTTGCTGCTCTGAACCATCCTCCTCCTTCCCAGATTATTTGAATCAAAATCTCTTGGGGGTGAGACTTGTGCACCTTAGGCCTTAAAACCTGCTCAGATGATGTTATTATGCTGCCAGAAATGAGCACTACTAATCCCTTGTCTGTGGGCTCATTAGCAGTGCAAGATCTCAAAGTCCACCTTGGATCTCCTGCATCTGAATCTGCATTTTAATGAGATCCTTAGGTTATGTATATATGCATTAAAACTTGGGAAGCATCACATCAGTCCATTTTCTCAAGGAAACTAAGGGCTGGAAAGAGGAAGTGACATACCTAAGTTAGACAGCAACAGAAGGGCCTGGGGCCTTGCCATTCTGCTTTTCCACAGAACTCTGATTTTCTTACGCATGGGATGGCATCTTCAGTGGGTATAGATAAAATAGATGCTGTGTGATCAGAGTTGTGGCAGGGAAGGCTGGAAACCCAGAGGGAGAGTGAGGGGTTTCTTTTCCCTCCTCCCTGCCTTGCACAAAGGGGAGAGCCAGTTGTTCCACCTTTGTCTGCTAAGTGTCACCAAAGGCAGGCAGCCAAAGGCTCTGGTCTCAGTCATTACCTTCAGGCCAGGCACAGGGGGGCCTCAAGGACCATAGGTGCTTGTGAAGCATTACTATGGAGTTTTGTTCCTCTTTTGTGGGTGATGCAGCCCCTGTCCCAAGGCTGCCTTAGAATTGGCCTGGGATTAGGAAGGGAGGGGGGAAGGTCCTGATCCTTCCACTCAGCAACCCAGGCAGGTCTGAAGTATTTCACCAAGTATTTATTAGGCTCCTGCCATGTATTAGGCACTGGGGATAGAGGAATGGAATTGTGGTCTCTATTTTTTAGTAGATGGTACAGAAAATAGAAAAGGAAGTAGATAAACACATAGTAGCTCAGGTGGTATGAATATTAGAAGAAGGTGATGGTTCCCAGGTTCCCAGGGGTAAGGTGTCCTGGGAGAGGGGAGTGTGCAGGAGAGGCTGGAGGGAAGTAAGGGATGAGCCCTGGGGTGTGCCGGGAGAGTGCTGCAGCTGCGCACAGGCACAAAGGGCCCAAGATGTTTTCAATAAGCAGGGAATGGGTGCAGAGGATAGCAGGAGTGGGCTCCATGGTGTGGCAGGGTCAGGCTATGAGACCCTGGCAGGCACTGTTAGGACTTCTTGGATTTTACTTGGAGTGATGTGGGAAGACTGGAAGGTGTGGCATGACTCAATTTTAATAGGAAATTATGGCAGGGGTAGGGCAGGGAGGGACAGTGGTACGGCCAGAGATGGAGATGGCTAAGGCCAAGGTCAAGGAGCACTAGGTCCTTGTAGTCTCAGGACCATAGAGCAGTCCTCATTTATAAAATGAGGATGGCAGTAGTACTTTTCTGATAGAATTATTAGGAAGGGTAACTTAGAGTACATAAAACATGCCCAGCTGAACTTGCCTACAATCCCAGGGGCTTAGGAGGCTGAGGAAAATTCAAAGCCAGCCTCAGCAACTTAGTGAAGCCATAAGCAACTTAGTAAGACTTTCTCAAAATAAAAAAAATTAAAAAGGGGGGCTGATAATGTGGCCCAGTGGTTAAGCACCTTTGGGTTCAATCCCCAGTATCAAAAAAAAAAAAAAAAAAAAAAGCTTAGTACACAGAAAGTGCTTAATAAAGTTTAGCTATCATTATTCCAAGTGTGCAGGAGAGGACATCTTCTCAGTTGTCCACTCACATGTGGCTGTGCTGTGCAGGGTGACTTCTTAGCTAGGAGGGAATGTCCTCTCCTGGAGAGACTCTCTGGAGGTCTCACCTGATCAGTCTCATGCAGGTGGGCCCCAGAAGAGACATGGAGGACCCCTAGAAATTTGGTCCTGAACTCTGACATGACCATCAAAATGGGAAGTGACAAAGTCCCTACAACACTTGTCTGAGCTTCTGCGGAAAGCATCTGCAATATCACAGGAGTCTCCTAATCCTAAGAGAGGCAAACAGCTATTCTTATTCCTATTTTATAGATGAGGAAACTGAAGACTAGTGTAAGTAAGTGGTCAATCAAGGTTGCAAAACTAGTTGATGACCAAGTCTGGACTGGTTGTGGCCTCCTGCCTCCCAGTCCAGGGTTCTTTCTGTTCCACCTGTAGCCTCTCTGTCTTACTGTGTGACTATATGTCATCTCTCCCCCATTTGTGACCCCACCACTGTCATCTGAGCCCCACCTGTTTCTGTCCACACTCCAGGGAGGCTAACCTTGGCTTGGCTTTGTCCTTTTCTCCCTCCAGATTGAGCGACAGCTCTTTGAGGAGACTGTGAAGACTCTCAATGGCTTCTACGCAGAGGCAGAGAAGATTGGGGGAAGCTCCTACCTCGAGGGCTGCCTGGCTTGTGCCACAGCCTACTTCATCTTCCTCTGCATGGAGACCCACTATGAGAAGGTGGTGCCTCCCCAGCCTCCCTGCGTCTCCCTCCCCACCGGCTTCAC